TCCCGGGCCTCCTCGCCGGGCCGGTCAGGGCCGGTCGGGCCGGCTCAGGGAGGGGCGCCCTGCCGGTCTCTCATCCGTTTTTAGGACAGTTTCTGGCGGGTCAAGCAGATAGATCCATTTCAAAATAACCCCCGGATTGTGGAGGTTTACACTGGAGTTCGCTGGCCTGCCACGCTGCCCTGCAAGGCCCCAAAGGGTTCACAAGTGGATTTCCTCATCAGTTTGTGGAGGAGGAGTAAAACCTTTCATAAACCTTTAGGGGTCCCCCCCTTTCTGTGTGCATGCGTCATCAGGAAGATGTAAATTTTAAATGCATTATCATGGATTACAGAAAACAAATGCTTCAAAATACTGGATTCCGAGTTTCAGTCAGGTTAGGTTCCCCTCTGCCACTTATTAATTCTGTGACATCTATAAATGAGGGAAAAGTTGCAGAGATTAAATGAAAGAAAATCTGGTGGGTCAGCACTGTAATCCTAGCTACTCGGGAGGCTGAGATCCGAGAATTGTGATTCGAAGCCTAGCTGGGCAAGAAATGCGTATCCCCAACTAACTACCAAAAAAAGTGAGAACTGGAGCTGCAGTTCAAGTGATAGAGTGCTAGCCTTGAGCAAAAAAGTTCAGGGACAGAGTCCAGGCCAAGTTCTAGTCCAAAGTCTGGCACTGAAGAAGAAAATCTGTTACATAGCTAAGCTTTAAAGTGTTTTCTTAATTGGTTGAGTAGAAGCACAGTTATTTCTGTGCATAAGGCATAACAACTGTCTTATTAGTATGTGCATATGTTAAATATACGTGTGTTTTACCTAAGCTATTGCTTAATTTCAGCTATTCAGTTGACTACTGAAGTTTATGGGGTTAAGCTTTCATTTCTCTCCAGCACTTTGGAGGGGACTATTTGTGTGTGTGTGTGTGTTGGGGGGGTGTTTTTGGTGCCAGTCCTGGGCTTTGAGCTCTGGACCCAGGTGCTGTCCTTGAGCTTTTCTGCTCAAGGCTAGCACTGTACCACTTTGATCCACAGCACCACTTCCAGTTTTTTTGGTGGTTAATTGGAGATTAGAGTCCTATGAACTTCCTTGCCCAAGCTGGTTTAGAACCACGATCCTCAGATCTCAGCTTCCTGAGTAGCTTGGATTATAGGCGTGAGCCACTAGCACCCAGCCAAGAGTAAACCATTTTTAGGTAAGCATATCATAGTATCTAACAAACCAGTTCATAGTCTGATCTTTAAATAAAAAGTATGATTTTGGACGTTTTAAAATCTGGAAATTAGTAATATTTAGTAAAGGGCAAAAGGAGTTTAAATAAAAATAGCAGCTTGTATCCTTTGACATGATACTACAGTATGGTATTGCATATATGCCAGTTTCACATGTAAAAAGGGGAAGAGAGTTGGTAATACATTTCCCTTTGTCTCAAAAGAGTAAATAATAGACAAGTGAGTTCCTTTTAATAAAGTTTGTTGATCAGTCATGGTTTAAAAATTCAAGTATTCTGTAAATATTAACATACATAAAAACACCTTACTAAGCTTTTACACTGCATAAAAATAGACTTGTGAATATTGACAGCATATGATTGACATTGTCAGTTTCTACGTTATAGTGTATAAGTAGCCAAACAGTAATAACAGCTAACATTATTTGCCATAGGCCAAATAGACTTCTAAGTACTTGATCTCAAATGATTCTCACAGTCATCAATGTGGCAGATAGTTGAGTTCTGCCATTTTCATAAATGGGGAAACTCAGACCTATAACAGCTCATGTGTTTCTGAAACATCTTAGATGCATAACTTGCTCAGTTCACACACAGCTAAGTAGTAGAGTTGCTGATGCTGGATTAACTGTAGCCTGCCCCTCTACTGACCTATTTCATTAAAAGTTACAGAATGCCAGTGGACTATTTCGGATTCTTACTTGCTGGTGACTTTGGGTAAACTTGTTTCCTTAACTACTCCTTATTAGTATTTAGAGACTAGTATAATTTGTCAGGCACAAGATTGCATATGTTCAGCAAATGATAGGTCTCAGCCTCCTTCCTTTCTCATTGAGGATATGGCTATTTGAATAGTTGTTGTCAGTGGGAGAAGGGAGGGAAGAAAAAAGCTCCACACAGGGTCACTCCAGAGTCTGGTGTAGAGGTGGCAAAGGCAGGGTGCATTTGCCAAGGCTATATGTGGAAGGAGCAGTGTGGTGAAATCTGGATGCAGATTAGGGAAATTCTTAAGTGCCAGGCTAAGGATTTTATATATGGTGATCACTCGAGAAACCCAGAGCAATGTTCTCAGTATTCTGGGAACAAAGGCCCAGGGCTAAAGTAGAAGCTGAGAGGTTGAAATTCAGTGCGGAGTAGTTAACAGCAGCTGAGGCAAGATGTGGTAAGTGCAGGAAGGGTGGATTTGAAAAGGCTGAGATGGTACTGGAGATTGACATGAGCTTTCCAAATAGCTCCACCAGCTAGGACCAAGCCTAATGCTTGAGTCTGAGGGGACATTTCCTATTCAAACAGTAACAAGATATTTCTTTGATGTGATTCCACATGTAGGAATCTGCTCTAAGATAGAAATGTAAAAAAAAAAAAAAAAAGATTGATTGATTGATTGATGGTCAGTCTTGGGGCTTGAATCAGATCCTGGGCACTGTCCCTGAGCTTTCTTTTGCTCAAGGCTAGCACTCTACCACTTAAGCCCCAGTACCACTTCTGGCTTTTTTTTTTTTCTGAGGAATCGAGCCTAGGGCTTCATGCATGTTAGGCAAACACTCTACCACTAAGCCACATTCCCAGCCCCAACATTTATATTTTAATAAAGCTTTGTCTTTTTTTTTTTTTTTTGTCGGTCGTGGGGCTTGAACTCTGGGCCTGGGCGCTGTCCCTCAGCTCTTCAGCTCAAGGCGAGCGCTCTACCACTTGAGCTACAGTGCCACTTCCGGTTTTCCGGTGGTTTATTGGAGATAGGAGTCTCACAGTCTCTCCTGCCCGGGCTGGCTTTGAACCGCGATCCTCAGATCTCAGCCTCCTGAATAGCTAGGATTACAGGCGTGAGCCACCAGCGCCCAGCTTTAATAAAGCTTTGTAATAGCAATAGTTGGCTTCAATTTAATATTATGTATAGAAGGAATAGTGAAAGTCATGAACTAGCCATATCAGTAGCTATTAAGGTGATGATTTTGTAGGATTTTAATAAGAGGAAATATTTGATATAGCTTCAAGTTAAAAACCATATATGTCATAGTAAGATACCAATGATGTAGAGTCTGCATGGTTAGATAAAAAGCAGTCATGGTTAGATAAAAGGCAGAAGCACTTTGACTGATATGAATGATACAAAAACAGTGGCAGCCTACTAAGGTGAATGTACAAGGCCTTGTGCTGGGTGACCCAGGGCTTTGTGGGTTACTGGAATTCAGAATGGAGAGCTCAA